AAAATAAAAAACAGAGAGAAAGGTGGGAAGAAGAGAACGAACAAAGAGGGATGTGGGAGAGAAAGAAATGTGCGTGAGGAATGGGGATGGGAGAGCTGTGTGAGAAGAGGGGTAAAGAAAGCAGTAAAAAAAGAAGGTTTATATATGGTGTACCCCAGGGTGTAACCCAGGGTGTACACCAAGACTTTTTGATAATGCAAACCTTTTGCAGCATCATGCAAGCAGCAGAAAAGGATATGATGTCTTATCTTGAAAAACAGTCAATAATTCACACTATCAAGGAACAAGAATAGACCAACATACAAATGCTGGTAAATTCGTAACAAATGTTGCTACCCCTTTGGCCCTTAAAAGTATCTTTGTGTAATTTGTACTAATAAAGGTGAGTGTTCTCCTAAGGTGCTTCCGAGTTGAATATTTTTATGAAATTTTGTGAGCATGTTCTCCATGAAGTGTGACTATGTCCACCAAATTTTAACTTAAAATTCAATTGAGAAGTTAGTTAACTAAATTATTGGAAAAAAATTGCATGTTATATGAATAAAAAAACTCCTCAATTTTGAAAAACTTATTTAAGTGACTTCCCGATTAAATTTTAATCTGAATTTTGGTAGATATAATATAAACTTGATAGAGAACATTCTCACAAAATTTCATCAAAAAATTCATTTTGGAAGCCTCAACTGAAAGAGGCCTAAAATTTTAACTTTTAAACCTACTTTACATGAATATTTTCCTGTATATCATAAAAGTTTTTCCGGAATAATGTTTATTAAATAAATAATTCCCAAAATTTTAACTTTTAAACCTACTTTACATGAATATCCACCAGTTTTTTATCAAAGAAGATGGGCCCCACCCAAAAAAATCCCCTCTTTATTTTAAACTGCTGCAACTTTTTCATTTGTGCTCGGAATGTTACAAAAAATATATCAAAATTTATAACTTTTTATTAGCTTTCATATGACACCAATATTGCATATGGAAAAAAATAAAAAATTAGCAATTTCAAAAAACTTTTGTTTTTTAAAGTGTTGTAACTTTTTGATTTTAAATCTGATCGTTACAAAAATAATTGCATATATAAAAATGAAAAAAATTATTGCATGAAGTTTGATATATTTTTTGTAACGATTGGAATTAAAATGAAAAAGTTACAACACTTTAAAAAACAAAAGTTTTTTGAAATTGCTAATTTTTTATTTTTATTTTTAATATGCAATATTGGTGGCATATGAAAACTAATAAAAAGTTATAAATTTTGATATATTTTTTGTAACAATCCAAGCACAAATGAAAGAGTTACAACGGTTTAAAATAAAGAGAGGATTTTTTGGGTGGGGCCCATTTTTGAGTTTCCTTTTGGCAGGGCCGGTCCTGAGAAAACGGAGGCCCTGTGCAATAATAAAATCCGGGCCTTCCTTTCTTACGCAGATAAAAATAAAGCACAAATAAAGATGATAAGAGTAACAAATACTCATAAACAAGTTCATAAAGAAAATAATGAAGTATTCTTTTCTTTTGACGTCCAGATGGATATCTCTTTGGAAACACAGTACTACTCCGTACTATTTAGTGAAATCCTTCAATAATCATGTACATATATAAATAGTTTAATTAATTCATCAATTAATTACATTAAATTATAAATGACAACCTAATTTGTTAATTTTCATTACCTAATTAGTAAGCCTTAACCCTAAATTGTAAATCCCTATTTCCTGATAACCCTAATAAATAATTAAAATAATTTATTCACATAAAGTCATAAAATACATAAAAATGAATAATGAAAACATTAATAAATTATCAAAGGAAGAAGTGGAAAACTAGACTGGAGACTGGAATAGTGGAGTCGTCAATCGACAACAGAAAAATTACAAGAGCTGAAAAACCGATCAGAAGAACACAACTTAGACAAGAAAAGCAATGAAGTGGAGGTTGGAGCCTGGTGCGCCGGATCCGAGTTGACGCCCGCCGCAGGCCGCACCGCCGCAATCCCATTTAGCCTCTTCTACTCTTCGGCCTTTGTAGAATCGCAGACCTCTTCCCTTTGCTTCACGAACTTTGGCCCCTAATCGACCCAAAACCTTCTTGACTTTTAAAATTCTCCCGCTCGTTGTTTTAATTTCGTTGGGCCAAGTAATTGGGCTAACAAATGCAGAGCACTAGACTACTAATAATACTACTACTAATATTTTTTGGGGCCCTCCAATTTTTCGGGCCCGGTGCGGTCGGACTCCTCACTCCCCCCTAGGGCCAACCCTGCCTTTTGGCTGGGTGTATGCTTCTTTGATCGACGGTGTGCGTGAGCCGCCGCTTCAAGTGGCAGTTTTGCTAACCACGATCTATTTTAGCATTACTTTGGGAATTATTTTTAACTCAGTAGTATTTTGGGAATTATTTATTTAATAAGTATTATTTCAGGAAAAAACTCGTTTCTTTTCTACCTCAGTTGTCGATACGGCTCTATTTGCATGGGTACATGGGCGGAGCTAGGGGAGGGCCATCCCTGGCCCTGGCCCAGCCCAAATTTTAAAAATGCTCGTATTTTTAGTGTAAAAAATTCTGTGTAAAAAAAATTCCAAAAATATTCTTTGTACCAGCCCAATCCGACCCAGTGCCCAGGGGCAGATGCACCCTTAGTGTCAGGGCCAGTGTCTTTTTTAGTGTTTTTTTTATTACTTTTAATCAACTATTCACTTGTGCCCCCAACCAAAAAATATGAGTGCCCCCATTAAATAATCCACAATCATTTTGAAATATAAGAGATGCATAGAGTCGGCCCATTATTTGTTCATGTTTTGTAAGACTCGATTTTATCTTTTAAACATTATGTTATTCTAGTTTTTAAAGCCTAAAGACAGAGTAGTTTAAGATCGAGAAAGAATATTGGATTTTCTGTTACCAAATCCATTTTCTAAGAATTACACCTTGTATAACTCGATTTGTCAATTATTCGTTCGATTAATAAAGATTTAGAATTACTTTTTTCCAATCTTTATTTTCATAATCAGGTTTATTAAGTTGATATTTTTCAAAAATATTATTGACTAATTGTCATGGTCATTGGTCACTTAAATACAACTATATAAAAATTGAACCGCATATTAGGGAGTGTTTGTTAAAACTTAAAAAAAGTGCTTTTAAGCTTTTGGCTTAAAAGGTTGTAAAAAGTGTTTTCAAATGATAGCTTTTGTTTAAATTAATCACTTAAAAGCTAGAAGCAGGTAGAAGGGTGTTTTAAACTGCTTTTCACTTTTTATTACACAAAAAACACTTATTTTATCAAAAAACTAACAATTTTTACTTTTCCAGAATCACTTTTTTCTCAAACACTTTCAATTTTTACTGTTAAGTACTTTATCCAAAATCACTTTAAAAAATCTTTTTTTTGGAAGTAGAAGCAATCGCAAACACCCCCTTAGAGTGTTGAGTGAAAGTGTGTAAGTACTTCCAAGATCTCAAATGTTCCAAGAAACAGTTTTTTAGAAGTTGTGGAAGCTGGTTTCTGAAAACCGATTCAAATTTTACTTTTACTTAAAAAAAGGAAAGGCAAAATTTTCAAACACCTAGTACCCCAATAACTGCATTTTCTGGATCCGCCCCTACCAGTGCCCTAGCTCCACCCCTGCATGGTACATGCATTTTTCTACAATGTCTCAGTCAAGTCCTTACGGTTCGTTTGAAAGTAGAAAGGAAGCGATTTTTTTTTTTAGAAAGGAAGCGAAAAAGTTAAAATGAATGCTTCAAAAAAATGATAATCATATCGAAATAGGGTGTCAAATCCAATGGCGTGCTATGTCTACCAGAAATTTTATTATTATTCGTTCATTCTAACAGTTTAATCAACAACAGCCTGTCTTGGGATCAATTATCAAATGAACACTTGATTTCATTATTGATTGTTTGTAATAATTTCTAATTTGCAGATAATGAGAACCTGGAGTCGGTTTCTGAGGATGTAAATCACCTTCATGAGGTGGAGAGGTGACAGTGACATCCAATTTTCCTTCGGTATGGATCTCGATGCAGAAAAGAAGTCATTTCATCTAGGGTTGTAAACGAATCGAATAATTTTGATTCGATTCGTGATTCGAATTCGAAAATGCCGATTCGAATTCGAGTAAGTAGAATACGAATACGAATACAAATCTATTTTTTGATTCGAATACTTTACGAATACGAATACAAATACTATGATATTCGATTCGAATATATTCGAATTATATATATATATATATATATATATATATATATATATATATATATATATATATTTTATATATTCATACAATATATGCTACTTCTTATGAATACATATAGTTCAATGTAAATATATTAATAACAAAATATTCATGTAAATATTTTGCATATTTTAATTTAAACATTCTTACTTTACCAGGTCAAAATAGCTTAATTTAAAATTAAACTTCTCCGTTGATTTATCTATATTGATATTAAATTTGAAGTGACTTCTATAAATGAATTTTGTTTCCTATAAAATATGTAATATGAAAATGAGTTAAAAGGGGCAAACTAGCATCATAATTTTAATTATTTTCACAAATTAACTTTAATGTTTTTTGAATTCGAATATTCGAATTCGATTCGAAAAAGATTCGAATATATCAAACGAATCGAATACGAATGCAAAATAAGATTCGAATTTTAAACGAATACGAATACGAATATTCGATAATTATACGAATACGAATAATATTATCAAGTATTCGGTTCGATTCGATTCGTTTACAACCCTAATTTCATCCTTATTATATATGGCAAATTATTCCGTGCAACGGTACCGTTTTGAAATTAAAATATACTTCATCCATCCCAAAATTAACTTCTCATTTTCCTTTTCGGGCAGTTCCGAAATTAACTTCACACTTCAAAATTTTCCTTATTTGACAAATAATCTACATAAAAAAGTGCCAACAGTGCAAAACAGTGCACTCCACAATAAATTCAAATTTATTTTCTTAATTTGTGTGAAGTCAAATAGAGAAGTTAATTTTGGGAAAGAGGCAGTAGAAAAGAAGATGCGCCCATCCTATGCCCCATCGCAAGCTGCTTTGCACACCAAAGAGAGCAGAGAAGGTGAACATCTCCGGCGAATTCCGATCGATTAATTGATGGCCAGATCTGCCATCTACCATAGGTGAACATCGCCGGCGAGGATGTGACGGCGGCGCAACTCCTCTTCCTTGAGGCGGCGGCGCCCTGCCCTGATGTCAGATTTGAATATTTGATGCCGCTACACTAACCACCGGAAGATGTGTTGGCCTGGTCAACATGTTATTAACCTCTTCTCCCTTCATGTCCAGCACGGTGAAGCCAATCTCTGCCATATTGGGATTGGGATTGTGGGATTGGGATTGAGATTGGATTTCTAGAGGGGTAGCCCATTCAGGTAAATTCTTTGTATTTACATCTTTAATATGATTTACATTTATATTAAAATGATTTACATTTCCATTTATCTCAAGTTACATATGTATTAGTGCGAGTTACATGTCAACTTTCTTCAACAAGTTACATCCCGTTTACATGTGATTTATATTTTTCATGCGAGTCACATCACAATATAATGTGAGCTACACAACTCAATAAGCCTCAAAGAAACAAAATTAATTACATATACACTACTCAAAGAAAAATTAATTTTATAAAAAATCATTTTTATAGCCCTTATATATTAGAAACAAAACATATACACTATTTTTGTGAAATAATTGGGCAATTAGACTCCTTTTTTCATTATTTACATTCAAATCAATATTTTATTTCTTATACTATGTATTGGACAAGTTACATTTCAAATGGACTTCAGTTACACTAATCAATAACGTGAGTTACATTTCTTTACACGTAAGTTACATCACTCTGCTACTGGGAGTCCAGCGGCGGAGCCAGGGCACTGCCGCACTTGGTCGGCCTGAGCCGATACAAAGAATATTTTTGGAAAACAATTTACACAGATTTTTTTACACTACAAATTTAGACATTTTTAAAATATGGACTGGGCCAGGGTCGGCCGGGGTTGGCCCTCCCCTAGCTCCGCTCTTGATTGGGACAAAGGGGGAAAAAATTACTGTACACGCGTGTACTGTTCATGTGCGAAAATGTTTATTAAAAAAATCAAAACTATGACGTTTTGATTGCAGGAGTACAGTGCTCATGGTGGGAGGGTTCCACAATATACGAATTGTGCATCATTGCATGCATGTCATGGGATCTTTGAAGTTAAGGCGCATATGGGAGCACCTGGGTAATAGCGGAGTTTGGACTTCGGAAGTTCGGAGCACTGAGAGACGGAGTAAATGGACGGTGTATTCAAGCGACAATATAGAAGGAGATGGAAAGGATGTGAGCCCTTACGAACAGAAATTAGACGGGAATTTAATTTTAACTGTTGAGATGTTTTGTAAATTGTCTTGCATGTTGGTTATTTTATCACATAGTTATGGTTATTACTAGTGTAACACCTGGCGCATGCCCCGGTGATCACTCTCATTAGCATTCAAATAGTAAATATCATTAGAAGTTGAGAATCTTATCTTAGTTTATACAAAAGGGAAAAAAAATAACTCATTTTCTCATCCAAAAAGATGGGTGAAAAATGAGATAAAGCGTAAAACAACCATTTCAATTTTTTATCACTATTTCTAGTTTTTAATACGATTGGTGTCCAGCTGCGTTGACCGCTTCCTCCGCCAGGGTCAATCAGTTATTTATTTATTGCTATATGTGGATGATATTATTGTTACTGGTAATTCTCCATCTCTTGTGTCTTCTTTTATTAGTCATATTCAGGGTCGGTCCCGAAGAAATGTAGACCCTGTGCGAGAATAAAATTTGGGCCCTTTTTCAAGTTGCAACACAAGTAAATTCTCTTAAAATACAACTTACGAATAAATGTAATGATAAAATAGTCATTAATAACTTACAATTTATTTAAAAAGGGACATTCTTCAAGCATATTTAGATTTACGCAGGGGGATTTTGGACTGGGGCATAATACTAATTTTTTTTTGGGCCCTTCAAAAATCCGGGCCCTGTGCGGTCGCACTGGGCAGACATGCCCTGGGCCGGCCCTGGTCATATTGCGTCCCATTTTGCCATGAAGGATCTGGGTGATCTCCATTATTTCTTGGGGGTCTAAGCTGTTCGAAACTCTAAAGGTGTTTTTCCGTCTCAACAAAAATATGTGTCAGGTCTTCTTCTTTGTTTTCACTTACATACTCTCAAGTCTGTTCGTACACCAGTTGCCACTCGTACCACTCTCTCCCTCACAGATGAATGAACTCCTAGTTGATGCTACTGAGTATCGTAGTATGGTAGGTGCATTACAGTATTTAACTTTGACAAGACCTAATATTACTTATGAAATTCATTTAGTGTCTCAGTTCATGCATGCCCCCCGCACTACTCATATGCTTGTTGTCAAGCGCATTTTCCGTTATTTACAGGGCACTATTGATCATGGATTATGGCTTCAGGCTTCTGCTCACCCCATTCGTATTTTGGCTTATTCTGGTGCTGATTGGGCAGGATATCCGTATAGTTCCCGTTCTTTTACAGGTTTTGCTATTTTCTTGGGTCCTAATCTTGTGTCCTGGAAGTCCAAGAAGCAGCCCACCATTTCTAAGCCGTTTACGGAGGCAGACTATCGAGCTATTGCTTATACAGTGCAAGACACCTTACACATTAGATCGGTTCTCTTTGAGCTCGGCTTGCCTGTACAAGTTCCCGTCAAGCTGTTTTGTGATAATATATCTGCCTCATACCTGACAGCTAATCCGGTTCAGCATGCTCGAAGCAAGCACATCCGTATTGATTATCATTTTGTGCGTGAGAGAGTTTCTCATGGTGATCTGGTCGTACAGTATGTTCCTAAACATCTCCAGCTTGCGGATATATTTAATAAAAGCTTATCTAGTCAGCAATTTCATTTTTTAAAAGATAACTTGCGCGTTGTATCTCCCGCACAGCTTGAGGGGGTGTAATAGTTTATATTAATTAGGAATACTATTTATACTCCGTATTAATTAGGAATACTTGTGTATTTTGGCAACTGATAGTTTATTTTAAATATATCTGGCAGGGCTCCTATTGCAGTACCGCTTTCCCATTATTTTCACAAAATGTAACTAGATTTGGATCCAAATTGATCATTATAAATTAAGAGTCTCATATATTTTGAATTTTTGTTATAATGAAATTCTGTTTTATGTAAACCAATTCACAAAATTGGCCAATTCTTTAATATACCAAATTTATGTAGTATATTGTTTTAGTGGGCGATAAATACAGTGTCTGAAAACAGACGTATAGATGAGAAGAGTTCAAATGTTCAATATAATGAAATATGCAAAAAGTAACGACCAAAATGTAATGGAGAGTGAGCGAAGTAAAAGAGCGAGAGAAAATGCTAGGTAGCTCAAGACGCCGAGGAATTGGTCGGTGATGCATAACCAAAGATCAAGCTCTCCTTTGAATGACAAAAATTCTCATCTTGATGCTTAACTAGGTTGGTCCTTGCGGGCGACGTCACTTGATTGTGTGGCGGTTGTGTACGCGCTTAGATGTGGTCTGTGGCGTGACATGATGTGATACTCTAAGGAGGAAGGAGAGCTGGGTTTACATCGGGTCGGGGATTTTAATGTGGCTATGCTAGCAAAGCAAGCCTAGAGATTACTGGTTGATTCTAAGAGTCTGGTTAGTCGGATTTATAAGGCACGTTATTTCCCGAATTCATCTTTTCTAGGACATGTGGTGAGAAATAATCCCTCATATATATGGCGAGCATTTTGGAGACTCAAAATGTTATTTCAAGAAATATGAGGTGGCGGGTAGGCAATGGCCAGGAGGTCCAAGTCTGGGGATGCTTCGTTGTCGGGACCAGGGGTGGGACGTAATAATTCTGCAAAGCCGACATGTGTAAGAGATATATATGAATGTAGCGGCTTTGAGAGGCGAAGATGGGAAGAGATTGAATGAGGGAAGAGTGAGGAGTGTGTTCACAACGGAGGAGAGCAGGTGTTGGTCCAAAATAGGACGCTCGTAGGCTTTTAGGAAAACTACGTAAGAACACTCAAGCAGAAATCAGGAAAGCAATACGAGTAAGGAGAGTAGCTAGAGAGTTTGGTAGCCAGAAATAGCATCTAGAAGTTCCCCCATAATCTGAATTACAGCACAGCTTTTATAGGCATATACAAATCGTAACCGCTATCGATAATAATGACTAATTAATTACAACATTAATACGGAATTAAATAAATAATTAAACAGCGCATTAATTGCTTGTCCGTTACTTTTCCTGGCTGGCAGGTCGGCCGGACTGGCAGGTTCCCTGCTGGGGTGGTAGGCAGGCTCCAGGTCGTGGACTTGGATCCACAGTCTGGGCCGATTAGGCTCTGGGTCTAGTCTCATTACTCCATCACGAGTCCCCCACTCCCTTAGTCGAGTAGTAGGCTCGGCTAAGAGGGAGTAGTCCAAGTCAGTTGCTCTTCTCCGAGACTGAAAGATCTCCGCCTTCGTCCATGTCGGGGAGATGCCTCATTAAAAACCTTCATTAGGAAAAAACCCAATGGGAAAAAAATCCTAATGAAGGGAAAAAGAGTACACCTGATGCCCCCCAAGATGAAGCAAAAGGTGAAATCTTCAGCCTTTATTGCAATGGTCACCATCAGCGAAGAGGATGGCTAGAATTAATCGTTCTTCTCATCGGGCTCGAACTCATCAGGCTCGTCTTCGTTCAGTTGTACCTACACATAAAAGCAACAAGTGTAGAATAGAGCATCTGACCCGGTGCTGAACCACGGCTCTGTGAGTAAGTGAGTCAGACTCACTACTCGAAAAGAGTGAAATCAAGTTCCCAAGTTAGGCCTCAACCCAGTCTTCGAAAGGAAGATTGAATCCGCGAGTAAGTGACTCGGAGTCACCATTCAAACGGATAATCCAACCCCACAGAACTAAAGTATATCAACCTTTTCGGGAAATGTGAATGTCAATTAAGTGAAAAAATTGCTCGGAAGAGCGTGGCTCTAGGCCCCTAACAAGAGTTTAACTCGCCGCCCGAGGTTAGTAGTTCAAACCCGCAAGTAAAAACTTTTGAACGGGTGACTCGTCCCCCGAGGTCGGAGTGTGATGCACTAGGAAGGGGTAAGAGCACGCAAGAACTCGTATGTAAATCAAGAGTGTGTGGTATTAACATTTATATTGGAGCTTATTAATTGCCACACCCATATGACGTGACCCGGTGGCGCGAGTGTGTGTGCTCGACCAGTGTACGAGTGTGTGTGCTCGCCCGGTGTACGTGAGTGATCGAATTTCTTAAGTCCATTTTTCAATGTTAAATTACACACGCTTGATAAGAGCATAAACAATTAACTCACTCAATTATTTTCTTTTCAAAGTGATTCAATTTATGATTTTTATGTAAGGTCTTTTATAATAATAATAAAAATGAGAAATGAGCACTTAGCTTCTTCGGCTGATTATGCTCGGTCAGGTTGTGCTTGGAAGGAAGCTTTGAGCTCTAAGCCCCAGAGTTGGTCAACACAATTGACCTAGTTCCAAAGAGGCAAAGAATTTAGCTGGCTGTCACTTTCAGTGGCCTTATCCTCTGTGAGCAGACGGTTTCGGATCTAATTTCTGGAGCTCATGAGTTGCGTATCTGTCCTCGTTCAAAGGGAATGCAACGCCACAATTTTGACTCAGGGGAGGAGCACCATCGGTCCCAAACCGGAGTCGCGGCTTGGTACCGTCACTGTGGGGCTGGAGTGACCCGGAGCTGAGACCGGATTCCCCCCCTAACGGAGACTGGCGGCGCTGTGAGCGGCGAGCAGCGGTGCTGTGACGTAAGTGGAGGGGACAGCTTCGTACGGCGACCAGAAGCCTCCGATTGTGAGCGTCGGTGTCGGGCTTGAGGTTCTCTCCTTGCCAGCGGCCATTAATGGTGGATATCCAAGCTCAGTTTCCCAAGGCGAACAAATCAGAAGATATCGCCGGAAACTTTACTTGTTTGGCCAATTGCCGAACTAAGGTCCCTATGCCTCCGTATCAGATTGTTGCTAGCTTTTTCCATATCTGAAAAAGTTCATATCTAGATTCATATTCTGGGTTACAGATATGAAATTCTGAAAATCTTATGGAAACCTTCAAACATTCCCATTTTTCTGATTTGTTTTGGTAATTCCTACTAGAGTGATGTGAGAGATAATAGACTCTCAATGAAAGCAGCAATGTTGGTCCAAAATAGGACGCTCGTAGGCTTTTAGGAAAACTACGTAAGAACACTCAAGCAGAAATCAGGAAAGCAATACGAGTAAGGAGAGTAGCTAGAGAGTTTGGTAGCCAGAAATAGCATCTAGAAGTTCCCCCATAATCTGAATTACAGCACAGCTTTTATAGGCATATACAAATCGTAACCGCTATCGATAATAATGACTAATTAATTACAACATTAATACGGAATTAAATAAATAATTAAACAGCGCATTAATTGCTTGTCCGTTACTTTTCCTGGCTGGCAGGTCGGCCGGACTGGCAGGTTCCCTGCTGGGGTGGTAGGCAGGCTCCAGG